CGTCCCTGGAGTAAGATTTCCTGAAGACCGTCTGGAAGTACATCATCTGTCCTTGGGCACCGAGGGCGCGATGTGCTGCGTCACGGCTCAGCTTCCAATGCTGTTCCAGGCTTCTGGTCCTCTGAGAGGGCTTGCGCGCCCGGCGCGCCCGTCGCCCACCTGCGGGACGCCTCCGGGCGCCGACGGCCCTCCGTTCCCTTTCCGCTGCTGCTCGGCATCGCACCCGTTTTTCCGTGCCAGCTCCGGGCGTCCGAATCCGAGGGTCCTCGGCGTCACGGGTGGGTCCGTGCATGCCCCGTGGCTCGGGGCATGTCTGCGGAGGGCGGGTCGCGCTGGCCTGCCTCTCCGGAGGCATGTTGCCGTCCGAGTCCTGGTCCCGTCTTCGGGATCGCACGACGCAAACTATACACCTACACCGATGTTGGCCAGGCCCAACCGAAGAGCCTCTGAGGCAAGAAGCATTGGGCCTCCTCCTCCTCCTCCTCATCCTCCTCCTCCCTCCTCCTCCTTCGCCTCCCTCCTCCTCCCTCCTCCTCCTTCGCCTCCCTCCTCCTCCATTCCTTTCCCTTATAAATAACTTCTCCCTGTCGCATCCCGATTGGACGGCGCAAACCATACCACTGCGCCGGTCCTGGCCAGGGCCGCCGATCGGTACCACCCCCCCCTGGCGTGGCACGGGAGGCAGCTGCAACGATCCTTCGGGCCCCCCGAGGACCGAATACTGAGGAGGAGCGAAGAGGAGCCCGGGAGAAGACCCAGGGGGTAGGACGAGGACGAGGACGAGGACGAGGACGAGGACGAGGACGAGGAGAGGAGGAGGAGGAGGAGGAGGAGGAGGAGGAGGAGGAGTAGTAGGAGGAGGAGGAGGAGGACGACGACGACGAGGAGGACGAGGATGAGGAGGAGGAGGAGGAGGAGGAGGACGACGACGAGGAGGACGAGGATGAGGAGGATGAGGAGGAGGAGGAGGTTCCAGGCCCCAGAGGTTGCGCGAGGAGGTGCCATGCGCTGGCGGAGGTGGCGCGTCCACCTCGCCAGCATCCACGCCCGGAGCCCCAGCCAGCAACTCCGTATGGACCTTCTCGCCTCTCCGGTCCCCCAGCCGAGCCTGCCGTGGGCGCAGGATACCGCTCCGCATCCCCAGGGCTGCAGTGTGGGGGGAGGGGGGGCGCGGATGGAGGGGAGGCGCCGGCAGACGAGGCGGACATGCAGCAGCACTCGGCCCTGGCCAGCCGTGGCACCCCTTCTGGCGCCCCCCCTCGCTTTTTAGAAGTTCGGGGGGGGCGCGTGACGGGCTTTTGGGATTGCTCGAGACCTTTCCCCACGCTTCGTCCGCCTCTCCTCGTCGTGCTTGCTGCCATCCCGCTCCTCCTCGCCTCTCTTGCTTCTCCTCCTCTGCTGTTTGCCCTCTGGGGTCGTCCCCTTACGTCGGCCTCCGTCTCCCCTTGGAGGCGACCCCCCCTCTTGGTTGGTGTGCCCCTTCGAACACCGGCTCTGCCCACCGTGGCTGAGCTGGGTGAGGCAGCGTCTCACCGGAGACTCCGCTGCCATCAGTAGTAGTAGAAGTAGTAGTAGTAGTAGTAGTAGTAGTAGTAGTAGTAGTAGTAGTAGTAGTAGTAGTAGTAGTAGTAGTAGTAGTAGTAGTTGTTGTTGTTGTTGTAATAGTAGTTATGGTAGTAGTAGTAGTAGTAGTAGTAGTAGTAGTAGTAGTAGTAGTAGTAGTAGTAGTAGTAGTAGTAGTAGTAGTAGTAGTAGTAGTAGTAGTAGTAGTAGTAGTAGTAGTAGTAGTAGTAGTAGTAGTAGTAGTAGTAGTAGTAGTAGTAGTAGTAGTAGCAGTAGCAGCAGCAGGCAGTAGGAGTAGGTAGGAGTAGGAGTAGGAGTCAAGCTAGCCAGCTCGAGCGAGTCAAGCATGGCATGCCCAGTCCCACCCGCCCTCCCACAACATAAGAAGCAAAGCTGGCACAACTGGGGGCCGAAGTCACACCGGCCAGCCGGTTTGGTACAGCTGATGCGGCCGCGATGGCGGTTGCCGACGGGAACTGGCGAGCGCGTGTTGAATGCCGCGCACGCATTGCCAGACGAGTCGAGAATGGCCCGGTACACCGCAGGAAGCCAGAGGTGGCCGGAGGAAGCCCGACGGTCTGACAGGACACCCCAAAGCATTTTTGTGAAAAAGCATTGGGTTTTTGATGTTTTTATGTTGAAATGCTTGCAAACACACGGTGTTCGGTAGGATTCTGACATGAACGCGCGAGTGTGCTCTTTGTGGTATTTTTTGCACAGGATTCGCGGCCTGGGTGCATGACAGAGCATCGCGAGTGCACCGCGCGATGACGTGAAATCGCTGGATTTGACCGAATTCTTAAGATTCCTATGGTTTTCCTATGATTTCAGCAAGAGAGCCCGGGCGGGAAATTTGTACAATTTTTGTGAAAAAGCATTGGGTTTTTGATGTTTTTATGTTGAAATGCTTGCAAACACACGGTGTTCGGTAGGATTC